TGAGCATGCTATACCATTAAAGTCAGATAAGCCCTTTTCCCAGAAACCACGACCGATTCCCCACAAATGGCGGGATGAAGTCAAGAGTCTTGTGGATAAACTGTTGGAAGAAGGAATGATTCGCCCTAGTACATCTCCGTATCGTTCGCCGTGCGTTTATGTCCCTAAAAAGAATGGCTCAGTGAGAATGTGTATCGACTTTCGTGCGTTGAATGCCCTTACGGAGGTTGATTCGTACACACTGCCTCGTCCTGATGATGTACAAGAGCACTTAGCGGGTTCGAAGGTGTTCAGTACACTTGATTTACAGTCTGGTTATTGGCAGTGCCTTCTTCGTCCTCAGGATATTCATAAGACAGCCTTTTGCCCAGGCCCTGGTTTTCCGCTCTATGAGTGGGTCCGCATGCCCTTCGGACTCTGCTCCGCTGGAGCCACCTTTCAACGTCTGATGGACCAAGTACTCAATGGACTACCCTTTGTTCGGGTCTATCTAGACGACATCCTCGTGTTCTCGCCCGATGCTGAGACTCACGAAGACCATTTGAGACAAGTCTTCGCACGCCTGCGTGCGTGGGGCTTGACGTTGTCCGCCGAGAAGTGCGAGTTCGGTTGCCCTTCTGTGCCCTATTTAGGACACATTTTTGACGGGAACGGTATGAGACCAGATCCGACTAAGGTAGAGGCGATCTTGAGATGGCCTCGCCCTGGTAATGTTGCAGAAATAAGGTCCTTTTTGGGTCTCGCCGGCTACTACCGTAACTTCGTCCCTAACTTCTCGGACGTGGCACGACCAATTCAACGGCTGGTGTCGGAGGTTGGAAGTGAAACCTTGGCTTTGGATGCCTACTGGGGACAAGAGCAAGAGGAGTCCCTTCGGGCCCTCAAGCTTCGTCTCGCAGCCCTGCCCTTCCTCGCTTACCCCGATTTTGGTATTCCCTTCGAGCTCTATACGGATGCAAGTGACTATGCCATTGGAGCTGTCCTGATGCAAGAAGGAAGGCCCTTGGGATTTTTCAGTAGGACGTTGACGGGCTCCCAGCTCAATTGGCATACATACGAGAAAGAAGCATACGGTATCCTACAAGCCCTGATTTACTTCCAACACTACCATATCGGCTACCCCTTGACGGTTACGGTGTACACTGACCACGAGCCCTTGACTTGGCTAGCTAAGGCCGGCTCAAAGAAGCTGGAGCGATGGCTTTTGGCCATGCAGGCGTATTCCTTCATAGTGAAATATGTACCAGGTAAGAAAAATGTGTGTGCTGATGCTCTGTCCAGGATACGCCAGCTCGACGACGATACCCTACCGATGGAGCCGATGGAGTCAGAAGCTCTCGTGACGAAGCCAGCCAAGGACGTTGACACTACCCGTACCCTTGTATCGGTTGTAGCCGCTCGTCGACAATTAGCTGCTTGTATAACGGCATTGTCGGCACGGTGGTCGATCGACGATATAAGGCGAGAGCAGGATAGTGACGACATCACAAGGAAGGTAAAGGAACGTCTGTCGGATCCGTCGCCCTTACATAGGACCGGGTTGACCGACCTCGCCTTCCGCCCTTATAAGCAGCTGTGGAATCAACTGGATGTGCTAGATGGCCTACTTATACGCCGTCGCAAGTTCGATAACGAACGAGAACCCCGGTTCCTACCAGTGATACCACCTGCCCTGAGATCTGATGTTGTGGATGCCTACCACAAGGAAGACGGTCACTTCGCCGTACGCAAGACTCTCGACAAGCTCAAGTTGCATGCCTATTGGCCCGGGATGGGCACCGATCTCCTCAACCACGAGAAGACATGCCCTAGATGTACTCAGGTCAAGGCAACGGTACCTCGAGCCCCCTTAGGAGTGATGCCTATCGGCAAGCCCTGGGACTTAATTGCTATCGACCACTTGAAGGTGCCCCCCCAATGACGATAATATTCGTTCACTATGGTGTCCAGATTATTTCACACGGTGGGCTACGGCCATACCGGTGAAGTCCGAGGATACCACAGAAGTGGTTAGAGCCCTGTTAGATCTTTTAGCATCTTCGGTCCCCTGTTCGTGTGCATAGTGACAAGACCCGCGTTTGAGTCGATGCCTTAAGATTGTCTTGAGCGTTTAGGAGTTGAGAAAAGCCATACCACACGTATCACCCCTCGGGTGACCGCTTGGTTGAGCGCTTTAACCGATCACTGATTGGCCTCCTCCGTACTCATGTGACCGACTCTCACCAATGGCATATGTACTTCATTCTTTATTGTGGCACTACAACAGTTCTGTTCACTCAGCGACTAGGTTCGCCCCGTTCACATTAATGTTCGGTCGTGAACCGAAGTCTGTCTTTTTGCCATCGTTGCAGGCCCTTGATCAGTTCTCCTTCTGGGGAGTGTAGGGATCGCGCCCTACGCGCTCGCCCTTGTAATCGTTATCGTCTGATCACTTATATTCGCTCGCCATCGATCGCGCTATGCACGTATGCGCACTGTGTGATCATGAACTAAGGATAAGTAGAGTTACAACTCCTTTTTGATCCTTCTCACTCGGCTGCCCTTCCTCGAAGGTCTGCCCTTGTTGTAAAGTTCGACTACGCTATCCACTGAAGTCTGGCTACTAGTTGTGTTGCCCAGTAACAGGCACAACAAATATAGTTTGACATTCTTAGCGGAGCGACGCTTCCATGGCAAACGTCCCGGGTTCAATCCAAAGCTCCTACGCGCTTTTTGGGTTCGAAAAGCACTCCTGAGTTCACGAACTTAGCTTTGTCTGTTGGGCAGCCCGTATTGTCCTAGATTAACCCGGGGGGCGGGGGGGGGGGGGGGGTAAATCCTCATTTCTAAAGAATTGGCCTCTTTTCTAAAGAAATTTCGCGCGCGCCCTCTGGTAAGTCCTCTTTTCTAAAGAATTGACGCCCTCACCTGTATTTCGACTTGGCCTTGGATTACTGCTTGGCCTTGTGTTACAGCTTGCCCTTGGATAACAGTTCGGGTTTCTGGTTTACCCGTCGGGTTTCGGGTGGGGTTTCGGGTTTCCCTTTCTCCGCTTTCACCTGCAATTCCTGTTTTTTGGCGAACTTGCGGTCAGGTTTGGCCTTGGATAACAGTTCGGGTTTCTGGTTTACCCGTCGGGTTTCGGGTTTCCCTTTCTCCGCTTTCACCTGCAATTCCTGTTTTTTTGGGGAACTTGCGGTCAGGTTTGGCTTTGGATAACAGTTCGGGTTTCTGGTTTCCCCGTAATTCCTGGTTTTTTGGGGGGAACTTGCGGTCAGGTTTGGCTCTGGCCTCGGCCGTGGGTTACGGTTTGGGATCGGGTAACAGTTTTACCCCGTTCTAGCGTGCGTA